CGTCGTGTCCACCAGCTGCTGACACGAGTACAGTTTATCTGCGTCACCTGTCTTGCCTGTCAGCTGGTGGTGCATGTGGTGGTGCGTGCCAGTTGCCGACGGACTGGTGTCGTACGTCGGAAGGTTGCAGGTGGTTGCGCGCGGTGACATGTCAAGGAAGCCGTTGCTCACGTACGGCGTTGTAGCGGCCGCGTGGTGGTAGTCGGGGTAGTACGTGCCCAGAGGCCGGTACTGATGGAACAGGTTCTCTGTTGTCGCGGCCAGGAAGCGGCGAGCGCGGCCGCGGCAGGATACAGTGTCTGGTGGAAGTTCCCCGAGTGTCCCATGTAGGAGTCCGCCGCCGACCCCGCTACAGCCGTGCTGGGATACGGCGTACTGTACATGTTGTTCAGGTTGGAGTAGGCGGCTGCCACGGCCGCAGCTGCGGCGCTGGACGTGTCCGTGGCGGCGATGTAGTCCACGGTCGCCATGGTGTTGGGAAGCGTGGTGCCACTCGTCGCGGTAGTGCCCGCAGTGGTGCCGGCACCTACGTGGTGCGTCAGCTTGCGTTTGGTCCGGCATGTTGACAGGAAGTCTCGTAGCTGCGTCTTGTAACGCCGATTCACCCGCTGAGGGGCGGTGGACACGGCGGTGTTGTGATGCGACGAGGACGGCGAAGAATGGTGCTGTACCGAGCCAACCACCAGCTGATCAGAGTCCGTAAAGTAGCTGTTGGTTAGCCCTGCGTCCAGGTAGCTCACCTTGAAGTCCATGGTTCGTTTCCCTAGTAGGTCTCGACCTTCCTCCTCCCTGGAAAGCACACAACATCAAACACACACTAAATTTAAATTAAAATTAAAGTGCACTCATTCCTACTATATTTTAACACAATACAATACTACGTTTAAATTACGTATTATAACAACAAAATTAAAATACCAAAACAGAACTTATCCTGCAAACTCAAAGAGAACGAAGTGGGTGACGAAATGGAATGAGAACTTCTCAAATTAAAAACAGTTGCGAAGAACGCCTGCGATGATAATCTTAAACCTGATAAGATCAAGAAAAAGAAAAGATGGATGACCAGCGAAATCTTAGTAATGATGGAAGAACGACAAAAATATAAGAACAGAGATTCAGTAAGGTACAATGGTCTACAGAAAGATATTCGAGGGGAAATCAGAAAAACGAAAGAAAAGTGGACCAGTGAAAAACGTGCCGAATTGGAAACGCTTGAACAGAAACAAGATAACTTTAATATATCGTAAGGTCAAGGAGATCAGCGGATTATATCGATCACGGACGCTTGGACGCCTGTTAGATGAGCACAATATCGATAAGGATCAGATAATCGACATTTGGAAGAATTACATCGCTGTTCTATTCCAAGATAAGAGAAATAACAATATTCCAGAAATTAATGCTGACTCTGGACCACACTGTTGATGAAGTTCGTTATGCTTTTGCACCTGACGACTTTCAAGCCGAGTTTCTGAAACTGTTAGACGATGATGGGATTAAGTGGTTGACGAACGTGTACAATTGCATTTATGACGCAGGAAACATTCCTTATGAATAGCTGAAATCCTCATTTATACCTATCCCCCCCCCAAAAAAAATCAAGTGCAAAAAAATGTGAGAATTATAGAACAATTAGCCTCATGATCCAATTGTTAAGATTATTAAGATTCATAGACGAATATACAGACTATACGAAGAAAAGATTACTCGCACTCAGTTTGGATTTTGAAATGCTCTGGGAACAAGGTAGGCACTATTTTCGATAGAGTTCGGCACGATAGGATGGTGGAAGTCCTGAAAAGGACTGGTATTAATGGAAAAGATTTGCGTCTAATTGTGAACCTCTATTGGAACCAAACCGCTAACATCAAGGTGGAAGGTGTCTGTTCAGAAGACATAAGAATAAGGCGTGGTGTTCGGCAGGGATGCAATTTATCTCCAATTCTATTCAATCTCTTTTCGGAACACATATTCGAAGAAGCATTGGAAAATATAAACGCTGGAGTGCTTATGAATGGAGATCGATTAAATAGCATTCGGTACACGGACGATACTGTAGTGTTCGCCGACTCTCTGGAAGGTCTCCAAGAATCGATGGATCGTATTTTGAAGGCCAGTACCAACCATGGCTTAGATCTTAACATCAAAAAAACAAAGCTCATGGTCATCAATAATATGCTGTATTACCCGGTCAGCTAGTAGTTAATAATAGAAAAATATAAACAGTATCGAAATATACAAACTTGGGCAGCACAATTAATGACCAGTGGGATCACTCATTCGAAATAAAGTGACGTATCGAAAAAGCCAGAGCCACTTTCATCAAAATGGGATCAATGTTAAGGAGTAGAGCCTTAAACTTAAACGCCAAGTTAAGATTACTCAGATGTCATATTCTCTCCGTGATTTTATACGGCGCTGAATCGTGGACGTTGACCGAAGCTTCTTCAAAAAAGTTGGAGGCCTTCGAAATGTGGTTGTACCGACGTATTCTCAGAATTTCCTGGACTGACCGTGTAACCAACAAAAAAGTTCTCTTGAAACTCCGCAAAGACGTTGAGGTTGTTAATACCATAAAAAAGAGAAAGGTGGAATATTTCGGTCATATCATGAGAAATAGTGATAGATACGGGCTGCTTCAGCTGATAATCCAGGGAAAAGGTTTCGGAAGGAGGGGACCTGGCAGACCAAGAATCTCCTGGCTTCAGAACCTAAAAACTTGGTTCTCGATGTCCACTGGGGGGCTGTTTCAAGTAGCCAGTAAAGCTCAAATTGCTATGCTGATCGCCAACATCCGGAACGGATAGACACTTTAAGAAGAAGAAGAGTCATCTACCGGCAGAATTAGGTACTACCATTACTGTTGGCAGAACCACCTACCGGCAGATACCGACAGTCATCCAGCATAACAGATTTCAGTGCATAGAAGTGTCCTTCAGCCAACATCGTGCTTCCATCTATCGATGGTTCTACGAACGACATGTTCTGCCACGCAAAACGTCGATAACAGATGATCAGATTTTCATGAAATTTGTTACAAAGATTACATCATTAAAGGATAGCCCATGCACTTACATGTTAATTACCTAGAGCCGATAATAACAACGAATGCTTAAAGTCGTAATGTGGGAGAAAGATCTACCGCCATTATGACATTACCCATAATCAGATGTAAAACAAAATATAACGCGCCTTTCACGTGATAATAACTGAATTTCAGTTTCAAGTAAATTACTGTAGAAGTTTGACCGGTACAGACTATGGTCTAGATTACCTCATCTAAATTTCGTTCAAATTCGTTGAGAAGGATCAGAGATAAATAGTGCAGATATACTACGTACACACATAACCTCCAACGTAGAACTTACGTTTATCAGTTCGTATAAATTACAATTAAGAAAGCAGAGACATAAAAGGATTCAAAATCGTGATCAGGTACCAAATTCCGTGAGTTCTTTAGACGGTGGGTCTGGCTAAAATTATACTGACTTCAGTGAAGCTAAATCCAGTGCCTTATTTGCACTACGCATTGTCCCTAATTGTTACGTTTCTGCGACTGCGCAAGAACACGAGACGGGGCGTGGCACATTCGCGCACAGTTTCTCGTACGTGTACAGCTGCTAATGTGTGTGTGGTTATAAATTATCGCTTCGTAGCTATAATTAATATAATTAGCGAAATGCGCTATGCAGCTCTGCAAACAGGAGCGAGCAGTCTAATTACAAAAATTTCTGCATCGTAAGAATTAGGTCAAGCCGGCGCGACTGTGTGAACAGGGTCCTCCAGTACGACACTGTAATTACATAATTTTATTTTATTCTGCGGTAATAAAATTTAATTAAAATGTCTTTATGTAGGATCTTACTGGATTTTCTATAATAAAAAAGTTGTTGAACTTAGATATTAAAAGACGACTTTCTTGTGAGTTGCTACACTGTATTTTCTGGTAGAAGTCTGCCAACGTTTCAAAGGTGCTTGCTACCTCCATCGTCAGGGCATGATCGCCCCTCTTCGTACCGATAATGACGTAGCAAGCACTCTTGAAACGTCGGTAAAATTTCACAACTTACGTGGCCTTGAAGCACGTAATTTATGAACAGAAATTAATTAATAAATTAGAAAATTATTAATTCGTAATGATGGGGGAAATAAAATTGTTCTGATACGCCACTGGCTCCTCGTTAAAGAGATACGTGTTATAATATCTGAGAGATCGTTTAATTCCGCTATCATGTACGTGGTAATGGCACTGTCTCAACTTCATCCAACTATGGATGGCTGGCAGAGCGTTTGGCTTCAAATTAATATTCACTTCGCAATAATGGCTTTTCGACAGAATGTAAAAGTTAACACAGAACCGAGTCACAAGCGTCTCTCTTACTGCAGACAGAAAACAAATACGCTCGGCTTGCTTCCGTCTAGTGACGGTAGCTGGTTCAACCGCCTCGAATTACCTTCCTCATCATTCACAGATCGTAGATGCAATGCACATCGCAGGTCTACAAATTATAACTCCTTACACCCATAACTCCAACAGCTGATTCAACACGTAAATAAAATTAGTGAGATTTCAGGTCTTAAGACGTCCATAATGAGGGTGATGACTCATCGCCCTGAAGATAGAGGCAGTGAAATTCTACGAAACGTCCGTCAACATCCACCAAACTGCAACTTACAAAAGACGATCTTACGGTGCAAGACGATAGAGGGATTTGCCACTGGGCCAATGTGGACGTCGTAGAAACGAGAAAAAATTATGCTTTAACGAGAATCGAACCTCAGGTCGTCCAACCGGTAGCCAATCGTTTTCTGACAGCCAAGATATTTGTCAAACTAACAACCCCGGATATGAATAATACTGTTTGTAATGTTACGATAATAATATAATATTGGGGAATCGGGTGGATAATTTTGATCGTAAAACTGTGAATAAGTGACAAACTGGTTCCGGTAGACTCACATTAGTGGCCGATGAGTACTGATGACGAAGTCTGGCTTTGAGTTCTTGTACACCAACCGTGAACTTGTCTGCAGCCACTGCCACTGTCCCTCCTTGGTCTGGAACCGATACGCGATCATGCCGGATGCACCCGTCTTCAGGACTGCAAAATATTCGTACACGACCAAGCTCAATGACAAACAATTCATAAATGACATACGATTCTTACAGCAGAAAGTCTCCGCTGTCAGCAATGGTAAGTGGTAAGGATCAGTCACTTACGTTCTTGATGCGCGCTTGCCACGTAGGCGAGGTCATCGTAGTGGACTAGATCGTAACCTCCCAGATTGGCGAGTTCGGCGTCTGAGTATCCGAGCAGCATCTTCCCCCTGTCAAGTATAAAAGAGTTAAATACAATGCTCCTTCAACATACACATTAAACAACGACAACAAATTAATTCCAAATTCAGCCGCTAGATGCCAGATGAAAGCAGCAAGGAATTTCTTTGCAATAAATTGTTCACTTGACTTAACAACTTTAGCACGTTTGTCAGAATTTTATCTTTGGCTGTTACAAATGGAGGACTTTATTATCGTACGTCCGCTAACCAAATCAACTAAGATAGTGTAGTTGCGTCATATTGTGACTTATTAAATTAAAATTAAATTATTTGGTTATTCGATTATTCGATATGGAACACAGAATGATATTTTAATTATTTTAATTATCTTATTTTAAATACATTGTGATTTGACGGAATAACCAAATAATTTAATTTAAATCAACTAAAGAAATGGAAACAGTTAGGCTTACTTAGACATAATTACCTCTGGTCCATGGATACAAGAGTGAGATCAAGTTTGTGTTTGCTCTTGAACATCACCTCCTTTTGGGGGATCTCAAGCAATGATGGCGGACCAAAAGGAGTGCAAATGGCGAACAGTGCAAGAGGAGGTTCCTCGGTTTTGCGGTTCTGTCCATGGAGAACTTTGATTCGTCCTCGGATATCCAGTCGCTAAAAGAAACATGCACAGAGGAAATATAAGTAGGCGAGCGTAATGCAACAGAGCACTGAAAGGTTAGAACATATTTTCCCCAGCGTGCTATGAGTCTATTTGGATATTTGTTCATTATAATAATAATAATAATAATATATTATATTATTTATATTCAGTCACGAATGTTACAGAAATGTATTAGGCCTGCTATTTACAATGACCTGAACAATGCCACAGTTAAAAGAATCCTCAGAGATTAAAATAATACTGCAGACTCCCGATTATCTGGGTCGGCTGGCGAATTCATTTTCCCGGATAATCGAAAAACCGGATAATAATCAAAAAATGAAAGAAAAACTCGAAAATGTAACAAATACGATAGTTTATTTACAGACATCCACAACTTAACTTTTTTAAATATTTACTAATAACACAAAGAATTTTATATAAAATTTAGTACAGTAGATACCAACTACTTTTTTAAAAAGAGGATTCCACCTCAAAGTAATAAAGTTCTATTGTTGTAAACTTCAGGTTTTACCGACTGATTTATGTTAATACGTTAAATAATATATTATTGTTGTATTAAATCCTTTTAATTTCCCATATTAATTTCGCTTAAATCAGCTTTAAGCTTCATTATTGGGCTATTTATTCCTGAAATTTAAATTAACAGTCACAACCCAGCCGCT